GTTTTCAGGAATCCATCCCCCCACGTTCCTCACAGATATTACCAATAGCCATCCAACTTTTCCATCCTTATTGGACCTATTAGAGCTACAACCTTTCAATTATACTACCAAGTTGGCCATTACCAGCCATGCACACTGCCTTTTATGCCTTTCTCAGGCCAGAGAATCCACTACCATAACCACCACTCAGACAGATCATGGTCTTCAACGATCCCACGTGTGTAAACACATATATCATTACCTATTGGCTCTACCACATTCCGAAACGAGTCAACACGCACCAACAGTAGAGATAACATACTATCCTACCCACAACAAATGGTGTCCAGTTGCGGTCCTAGATTCCTACCTTCAAAAATCCTTCAAGGAATTAAAAAACGTAATGCATTTAAGGAAATGTCTGGTTAATTTGTATATATTGTTGACTGTATTAAATCTTTGATTATTCTTTTTGCCCTCTTTATTTACAGGCCTACCGTATCGTCGGTCTTGGCACACCACAACCGACTTGCTCCCTTTATACTATCTTACGCTTATGCTGGAACCTTACTACATATACGGCTATTTGCCCCGAACACAAGTTTTAAGGCCATTTGGCCTGTATTTGTGGGAGGGGCTTAAATTAATTCACTCCCCTATATAAGGGACACCCCTTACCTGACTCATATCGCTTGAGGTCAGCATCAGAATGACCCTCCCACCCACTCCTCATTTCAACACTTTCTCTTTTCTTTCCATTTACTTTACTTACTTACTCCTTGGTGGGCCCTCTTTATTTACAGGCCTACCGCATCGTCGGTCTTGGCACACCACAACCGACTTGCTCCCTTTATACTATCCTACGCTTATGCTGGAACCTTACTCCATATACGGCTATTTGCCCCGAACACAAATAAATATATATATATATATATATATATATATATATATATATATATATATATATATATATATATATATATATATATATATATATATATATATTGTGATAAAGTGAAGGCAAAGAGGCCTTTAACATTTAACCCCAGGGGAAGTACGTGTTGTATGTGTGGTGTGCAAAACAAAGCTACGTTTAGTTATGGGCCCCTGGGGTGGAGCATTTGGAGAGCAGGGTGGGCCAATGCTCCACTCCTCAGTTTATACACAACTGGGAGAAATAAGGTCCAGGCCAGAGTTTTTTGGAACTGTCTCCAACCCACTGCTCAGCTGCAGATAATCAGCTGTAGCAGTGGGAATAAACCCCTCCCTGCTAGGCAGGTGAAGAGGGATTGCTGGCTTCCTCCCTGGAAGCAGGTAGGAGTGAGGCTGTTCTCTCCAGTAAGAAAGTCAAGGAGACTGAGCACTGGGAGTGCAAAAGGGAAGCAGTCAAGGCTGGCTTGGAGCACTGGGAAGTGCAAAAGGAAAGCAGTCAAAGCTAGCTTGGAGCACTGGGAGTGTAGAAAGGGAAGCAGCAGGCTGTCAGAAACACTGGAGTGCTGAGAGCTGAAAAAGACGCTAAGTCGGTGAAACCACTTTTTTTGTTATAGATTAAACCCTTGAGAGAGAGGGAACTTGATGTCAGTTAGTGCTCAGACCGAGCTAGGTTTTTGTTTATAGGATTTTGTTACATTTTGTTTTCATTTGCTGCTGTAGCTGTGGTGGAGTTTGACAATAAAACTGCCTGGATTATATGCAAACCAAAGGACTGTGCCTGTTGTTTACCCTAGAGGACCGTGCTACCTGCAGACAAGGATCACAATATATATATATATATACATACACACACACACACACACACACACACACACACACATACACACACACACACAGATAAAGCACCACACTTACAGCAGTAGCTTAGTATCCAACAGCTTAAAATACATAGTAAAAACAAAGAGAACGTTACCTGCGCTCTGGCCTAAATCGCCATGTACATTTAAACAAAATGGATACTCTTTAGTTTTATTCCAATGGCCATTTGAATATATAAGCTCACCTGCCACGTCAAGGCAAGCCTCAATAGGTGAGTCCTACACTAGCCATTAGATATGTTGATATCAGTCAAGAATCTCCAGTAAGACAGGAAGGGGTATTTTATAAACCCTTTCACATTTAACCCTTTATAGGGCTTCTACACGTATAATAAACTTTACTGGTATCAGACATAGTATAAACACACACATATATTTACATACATACATACATACATACACATATATACACACACACACACACACACACACACAAACCCCATGCTGTGGGTGCTCGTACACAATAACATGTCTACTAAACCACCTTTCATAGATGCATTGTATATCTATACACTGTCCATCCATCTGAGGTACAAGGGGGATGCTTCGACGCTTTGGGTCCACTTGCATCCCCGTTATTTACCTCAATGAGGTGTGGCAGCACTCCACCATCTTGCATGGTCAGCACCAACTTTGTGTGTCCATGCATGTCACACTCTCCCACCTTTAATTCAACAGTCAATTTTCCTTCATCCATGTTGACTTGCAAGGGAAATGTCTGGTTGTGCAAGTTCACCTTGCATTGCCCTTTGCATATCAAAATGTTATCTCTCCCACCCTAATACTATCAGTCTGTCTCCAAACTGTCTGGCTCTAGCATGATGACATTGAAAAAATTTCACTTTTAGACACTATCTTATCTTCAATTTAATAAAAAAAAAAAAAAAAAATGTCAGTGAATAGACTTTACTTCCCCCATCCATGTATATTTGCAAGAGAAATGTCAGGTTTTAAAAATGTTACCTTTCATTGCCCTTTGCATGTCATCAGGATATCTCTACCCTTCCAATTCTTCCCCCACACACTCACTAATTACTAACAATCTAAAAGCTATCTGTCCCTAATATAAGTACAATAAAAAAAAAACTTTTCCCTTTCATGAAACAATCTTGTCTTCTATATATTTTGAAATGCTTTTAAAATAAATAAAATAAAAAAAATATCCTTGCTACTGATGAGAAGGTGGTATGCTTGGACGCTCTGGGTCCACCTGTCATCTCTATTTTTCATCCTCTGTAGGAGCATCTCCTCTACACCATCTTGCATGGCCAGCATCAACTTGTCTGGCCCTGCATGTGGTGGGTGCTGTAACACAATTCCATGTTCTACTCGCCCACCTTTAAACTATAGTCACCCAGACCACTTCAGCTCAATGAAGTGGTCTGGGTGCCAGGTCCCTCAGGTTTTAACCCATTCAGATGTAAACATAGCAGTTCACATTCAAACCGCCCATGGTAAAGCATTACTCAATGCTTACATATGGACGTCCAGCGTCTTCTCACTGGGATTGAGTAATGCTTTCCTATGGGTGGTCTGAATGCACGCGAGGCACTTGCCGCGCATGCGCATTCGGTGGGAGCTCGGCGTTGGAGAAAGGTAAGTGGCTGAAGAGGTTTTAACCCCTTCAGCCCTGCGAGGTGGGACCCTGAGGGTTGGGGGGGACCTAATGACCCTAAATTGACAGAAAAAAGTTTGTTTTCCTGACACTATTGTGGTCCTTTAACTTTCATAAATTATTAAATACATAATAGGATTCATACAAATGTTGTTGTGTTTATGAAGATCTAATACATATTAATAAAAAAATTATAAATATATTTATAGCTGGCCAAATATTTTGAGGACCGCCATCGACATGCAGTTGATCCGGATATTTTAAATAGTATGGCCTGAGATCCACCTGCACAGCAAGTGATTAACGACGAAAATACGCCAGGTTCACCAACAAGCGTTGGAACATCAGAATGGTGTATGTGTGGCAATTGTATGCCAAGTGAGGAAGAAAGTGTATGCTGCCGGGAGATAGAGAACATTGTAGATATGTTGAATGAACAACAATTGCAATTGCAATCTTCCATATCTACGTGAGCAATTATTTTCCCAGGAACACATGCTGTCTACAATAGTTATGGTCTCAGCTATGTAAAATCCGCTAGATTCCATTCTCCTGAACAAATGCAGGAAAGGAGAGTCTATAATAAATCTAAATACAGCGCATTGTTCTTTAAAATTGTTAGTTATGAAGAAAAAAAAAAAAAAGAAGAAAAATTAATCTCTAAAGGAGCACCATAATGACAGAAAAACAAACTTGTTTTCATGGCACTATAGGGTTATTAGGTCCCCCCACCCTCAGGGCCCCCTCCCACTGGGCTTAAGGGTTAAAACACCTTCAGACACTTGCCTTTCTCCAGCGCCAAGCTCCCCCGGTGATGGTGACATCTCCTCCTCCTGCCAACGTCTGCTCCGAATGTGCATGCGTGTCTAGAGCGGCGCGCATTCAAACAGCCCATAGGAAAGAATTACTACAGGCTTTCATATGGACGTCCAGCGTCTTCTCACTGTGATTTTTATGTTGAGAATCGCGGAAGCTCCTCTAGCGGCTGCCAGTGAGACAGCCACTAGAGGCTGGATTAACCCTCAGTGAAACATAGCTCTGAACATTCTCTGAAACCATGTTTTCAGCTGCAGGGTTAAAACTAGAGGGACCTGGCACTCAGTCCACTCCAGCTCAATGAAGTAAATGTATTGTCAATTTATTTTTTTTATGTAAAGTCTAAACTGTAAAAAAATTTTTTTGCATTTTTTCATTATTTTAATGCTACATTTATCTAATAATTTTATTTTACAACCAAAATAACACACACTAATATATATATATATATATATATAGTGATCCTTGGTTGCAGAAAGCATGGTCCTCTAGGGTACAAACATGCACAGTCTTTAAAAGTAACTTAATTCCAGGTACTTTATTGTTAAGCTTCACCACAGAGACAGCAATAAACGAAAACATAAATATAACACAAATCCCTATAAACAAAAACCTAGCTTGTCTGAGCACTAACTAACTTCTTGTTCCCTATCTTTCAGGGGTTAAACTATAACAAAATAATATTGGTTTCACCAACCTAGTGTCTTTGTCAGCTCTCAGCACTCCATTGTTTAGTCAGCCTGCTGCTTCCAGCTCTTCAAGAGAGAAAACAAACAAACAAACATTCTCCCCTTACCTGCCTAGCAGGGAGGGGTTTATTCCCACTGCTGCAGCTGAGCAGTGGGTTGGAGACAGTCCAGAAACCCTGGCCTGGATCTATGTCTCCCAAGAAAACTGCTAAACTGTGGAGTGGAGCACTGGCCCACCCTGCTCCCCAAATGCTCCACCCCAGGGGCCCATAACTAAATATTCATTTCGGTTATATACACACACTCCCCCTGGGGTTAAAAATCATATGCCTCTCTGAACAATTCAGTCGAAATATAAACTCCCTCACAGACCACTCCATTCACCTTATCACAAAATTTTTTTATATATATATATATATATATATATATATATATATATATATATATATATATATATATATATATATATATATAAAAATAATGTGTGTGTGTGTGTGTGTGTGTTATTTTGGTTGTAAAATAAAATTATAAGATAAATGTAGCATTAAAATATATATATAGTCCATACTAAAAGTACTCATACTGAAGTGTGATGGGTAAAATTATTTGTCCTTTAAACCTGCTATTACTAATTACAATAGGGTGTCTACATGTACATGATTAAAGAATAAAGAACAAAAATTGAGAACTAATAAACATTTATTAACAACAAACATACATTTTATGTATGTATAATTTAATGTAATAAATAACATTAATTTTGCTAAATACAATTTTGATCACAAGTAAACTTTTTTTTTTTAAAAAGCACGGACATCACAAAATTAACTTTTTTGTAACATGACTTGGTTTGAAATTTTAAATATTATTATAAAAAAATGTTTTTTTTTAAAGAACACGTTTATATTTATAAATATATAAAATGGTACACTACAGGCACCATAACAACTTAATTTCAATTAAGTTGTTAGGGTGCCTGTAATGTAACATTTAAAATAAAACAAAAACAAATAGTAAGTAAGTTCAACCGTCCTGTTTTTGTTTAATAAATTATACAAAATAATAATCAAAACAAAAATAATATTTATAGAAATTAAGATTTGTGGTTCTGCTACAAATTACAACTAAGTTTCACTATAAACAAGTAGTTATCACTAAGAACAGATTTTTTATTATTCTTATCACCTGTCAAAAAATTTCAAACACCAAAATTATATTTTTTTTTTACATTTTAAAGTCTTCTTGGACCTAAATGTGAAAGGTGACAATCAACCATTTCCTTTGTTGATGGGCGAGGTGCTGATGCAATGTTTCTTGGAAGTTGCCCTGTTTGAGACTCCCAATTAACTTGGAAGTCACCTGAGGCTATTCTTAGTACATCAGCCATCATTGGGTATATATGGACAATAGTAGTTTTTTCATATACAGTTGCAAGAAAAAGTATGTGAACCCTTTGGAAGGATATGGATTTCTGCACAAATTGGTCATAAAATGTGATCTGATCATCATCTAAGTCACAACAATAGACAATCACAGTCTGCTTAAACTAATAACACACAAAGAATTAAATGTTGCCATGTTTTTATTGAACACACCATGTAAACATTCACAGTGCAGGTGGAAAAAGTATGTAAACCCCTAGACTAATGACATCTCCAAGAGCTAATTGGAGTGAGATGTTAGCCAACTGGAGTCCAATCAATGAGATGAGATTGGAAGTGTTGGTTACAGCTGTTAGCGAATCTACAATACGTGAAACACTAAACAAGAATGGATTTCATGGGAGGATACCACAGAGGAAGCCACTGCTGTCCAAACAAAACATTGCTGCACGTTTACAGTTTGCACAAGAGCACCTGGATGTTCCACAGCAGTACTGGCAAAATATTCTGTGGACAGATGAAACCAAAGTTGAGTTGTTTGGAAGAAACACACAACACTATGTGTGGCAAAAAAAAGGCACAGCACACCAACATCAAAACCTCATCCCAACTGTGAAGTATGGTGGTGGGGGCATCATGGTTTGGGGCTGCTTTGCTGCATCAGGGCCTGGACGGATTTGCTATCATTGAAGGAAAAAATAATTCCCAAGTTTATAAAGACATTTTGCAGGAGGACTTAAGGCCATCTGTCTACCAGCTGAAGCTCAACAGAAGATGGGTGTTGCAACAGGACAATGACCCAAAGCATAGAAGTAAATCAACAACAGAATGGCTTAAACAGAAGAAAATAAGCCTTCTGAAGTGGTCCAGTCAGAGTCCTGACCTCAACTCGATTGAGATGCTGTGGCATGACCTCAAGAAAGCAATTCATACCAGACATCTCAAGAATATTGCTGAACTGAAACAGTTCTGTAAAGAGGAATGGTCAAGAATTACTGATGCACGTCTGATCTGCAACTACAGGAAACGTTTGGTTGAAGTTATTGCTGCCAAAGGAGGTTCAACCAGTTATTAAATTCAAGGGTTCACATACTTTTTCCACCTGCACTGTGAATGTTTACATGGTGTGTTCAATAAAAACATGGCAACATTTAATCCTTTGTGTGTTATTAGTTTAAGCAGACTGATTGTCTATTGTTGTGACTTAGATGATGATCAGATCACATTTTGTGACCAATTTGTGCAGAAATTCATATCATTCCAAAGGGTTCACATACTTTTTCTTGCAACTGTATTTTCTTTATTTTCCAATTTTTACTCCTTTTAGAAAAAAAACGGTTTGAAGCACAAGTCCCCAATGTGTCCACTGCCTTCATGTTCTTTGTGGATAGTAGCCTATTCTCTGCCTACATTGGCGTTGTGGGCCAACACAGCCAATTGCGTCCTGGCTACCATCCCTTCCATCGTGAAATGAACTCTTTTGGGACGGTATTTTAATACAAGGCTACGAAAGACTTCCAGTGAGCCTGTGTGGCAAAAATGAATCAGGTGTGGAAAGTCTTTCTCTAATTTTGAATCCGTGACAAAGCTCCTAAGTTTTGAGTACGCCACTCCATTTTTGTTCAAGCATGATTTCTGTTCTTGAGTTTGCACATATTCCACTTGTCATTTTTTTTTTAAAGTGTTGCAGACTCCCATTCATGTACATTTATTATGTGATGCATTACCGACAGTCATTTTTCTTTTAACAAAATAGGATTTCCTTTGCTATACGAACAAGCTGCCCACATGTGGTTTATTATAGAATTTTCAAAACAACAGCACATGGAGAGACAAAATAGTATAAGAACAGCCAGGTGCAAACAATATAAACACTCCCTCAAGTGCTTTAAATATTCAAATGTTTATAGAATATAGAATGCCCACTATAACAATCTAAAAAAAAAAAAAAAATAGCTTTTTTTGAGATTGTTATAGTGTGCAGTCTATATTCTATAAACATTATTATAGAATTTTGCCACGGAACCGATTCCTTGTACATCGATTGTCGACATATGGTTGAAAGTTTGAAAGGAATGCTCCTACAATAGTGCCATATATCAAATTGATGATTAATGGGTTTGTATCTCTCTCTCATGATTTTCCTTATGCGGACATGCCTATCGTTTACGAGAATAGAAATTAGAATTTTATCAGCTAATACTTGGTCCATGCAACATTTGAATGCCAGGGATTGCATGGCAATGGATGATTTTGCCTTACTCACTTGAATTGTGTTACATTCAATTATTTTTTGTGATTTTTCCTCCATAAGTGAATACGTGCAGTACTTGGCGCTAAATCCAGGGCTATCACATTGCCCATCTCCTGAAAGACATTTTTCCACGTAAACTATCTATCAATAATCTTCTTTCTTGTATTGATGATCAATGATTGGAAATAAAAATTGTTTTTTTTTTTTATATATATATATATATATATATAATGTAGGGATTGCGAAATAAATGCCACTCCAAAAATTGCAAATAGTTCAGAAACTTTAGCAAAGTGCGAACCACTGAACAAAATTGAGGCACTTGCTAATAAATTCCCACAAGAACGGTTTCCAATCATAGGCTGGCTGCTCCAAAATTCACAACGATGATTCGATTCACAGACAGTGTATACTTTCATCAAAGTGCCGGTTATAATTTTTTCAGTGTTAGGTATCGGAGCATTACTTGTTTCTGAAAAACTACAGGTTTGAACCTTTTTAATCAATAAAATCTAGAGAAGTTTCAAATACAAAAAACTTCCTTTCAGATACATAATCCTCAGGTGAGGGCTCGGTTAAAAATGTAAGATCACCAATATCTGTTGTTTCTTCTTCTGGACTGTAAATAGGATCTTTGAATTCCGATACATTCAGAGTTGAATCCATTTCCGATACTCTTGTAACTGATGAAATGTTGGAGAATAGCGTATCCATATTTTCAACAGGAATGGACTGTTGGGAACTTGGGGATAACAGTAGAGCTGTCTCCATTGGCATATCAGCTGGCATAGTGCAACCCTGTTTTATAGCATCTGTTTGCTGTACAATTGCAGCGTTTGATGAATTGTCAATGTATTGTGCCAATTGTTCTGTAGGACCAGTCCAAGTCGAGGCATCCCTTGTTTTATCCAAATAGTATTTGGAAGTTGGCACACCTTTCACAATCATTGTTAACTTTGTGGTGTTGGTAGCTATGTTCCTAAATGATTTATCTAAAGCCAATTTGTAATTGAAACCTGATATATATTCATGATCGTAGAGAGATGTCTCGCCTTCTGCTGAGTCCTCAGTTAGCATACAAAGATGGAGCACTGCGGTCCTCTGACGGAGCACTGAGGTCCTCTGATGGAGCACTGCAGTCCTCTGACGGAGCACTGAGATCAACCATTTCTATATCAGTAATGTTTTCTGATCTCCTTAAAAACATATTGTGTATCGTTTGGAACACTTTTGCTTTTTCAAAAATAGTGGGTTTTGCCATTAAAACCAATCTTGTTCTCCTTTCAGACTTCACTATCATTTCTGCTGTAAAATGGTCCGAACAAATTTTGAAAATCTTGAAAAGCTTGCTTTTTTGTTTATCAATGATTAATTGAATTGCGGCATCTATGTTCACAAATTCATCACCTGTGGCTAAAAGCCATTCTTTAATTCTGTCAGGTGAACTTGGAAAATTAAAGAAAGAGCAATCAGCTGAGTGTTTAGAGTGACTGTTTCTGCAGCCTACAACTAAACACTTTGGCACTTTGTCTATGTTTTTAAAAAAATAAAAGAGATGACAAAAGAAAATAAGAATAAAATATAGTGTGATAGTTTGCGCCAACACTTCTCTGTTAATTAAAACCGAAATAATTTTAACATTGTTAATTTTGACAATTAAAACTATAATCATTTTTTTAATTTTTGGAAACTCCCAAATGGACGACGAAACCCCCCCCCAAAAAAAGATTTTTTAAATATATATATATATATATAAAATTTTGGAATAGATTAGTTTAATTTATATTAAATTGTTTTATGTTAATCTTTGCAAATTAAACACTCACAAAACCAGGACTCATGATGAAAGGTTTATGGAACACTGTTAATATACATCTACAGAACAGCAAGTAGAGGAGCTTATGAAATTTACATGGAGTAAATAGCACTTATTGAGCAATGCTTTACTATGGGAGAGGTTTAATCAGTGAGCGGCACAGGACATGCAGGCACATTTGGCACACCCTGCAGGATGACATTGCGGTAGGCAACAGAGCAGACCAGCGCTGAGGTACGCTTAAAAAAGGTTATGCTAAAAAAGGTTTATATAAAAAATGTTGCGACCGCGTTAGAGTGGTCCGTAGTCACCTAAATGTAGATTAGGGCACTGTAGCGTTAGTAATACAAATTTGTATTCATAACACTAGAGTTTTAAAGCCAATACCGATAATCTGTGAACTTTCAGGCTGATAGCCAAAGCTTACCGATATTCTGTACATTTACGATTTATAAAAAATAAATAAAAAAACACAACTTATTTTGAAAGGTAAATGCACAAAATATACATGCCACATGTAGTAGATGCAGTGTGTTTAGACAGGGGAGCTGTGTGTAATTGTGTAGTGTGTATATAATGAATGCATAGCGTGTGTGTGGTGTGTGTGTTTCTGTAGGTATGTAATTTGGGTGGCATTCTTTATTTTAGATTATTTAAAAAAAAATAATAATAATTTTTAGTCCCCTCTACCTGCTTCTTACTTGGCCATGAAGGGGGGAATATAGCATTCCTTGGTGGTCCGGTGGCATGGACTGTGCAGTGAGGGCCCGCAACAAGCTCTTACTTACCTTCCTATCAGCTCCCTTCCGCTCCACTGTCTAAATCTTGCAGCCTGCGTGCCGCGCAGACAGTTGCCATGGTAACACCTGTCAACGGTCTGATGGCCATAGAACACGCGAGTCTTACACAGGGGAGCAGAAGGGAGCTGCTGGGAAGGTGAGTAAGAGCTTACTGCGCCCTCCAGGACCACCGTGATTATCACGTGCCTGGCAGTACTTGTATGTATTAACGGCAATATCGGTATCTCTATATGCCGATACCCATATTGCTGAAAATACCTAATATCAGAAAAAAACGATAATCGGTCGATTCTTAATATTGATTAATTTTAAATTAATGTTAACGATCAAAAACATTGCCTACCTTGATCCAAGTCATACACGAAGCTGATTCTGATGAAGGAAAACAATTCTCTGAAAATATAAACAAAACAATAATATTATATTAAAAATAAATTTAAATTCAAGTTTAAGATTAGTTGGATGCGTAAACATGAGTTTGACTGTGAACCAGCAGGCGAAAAAGGCAGCCCCAAGAGAGGAAAAGGTAAAATTCAGGGCAGCACTTTTCACATGGCGAGCAACAGCGAAACTGTGGCAATATACAGAAATGGAGTTCAGCGACACAGCCATTATATGTGTGCCTGCAAGGAAAGCACAGGAGAAGAGCCTGCCTTGCATGCGCTGAAGCACAAGATGACGGCCAGCTCTTTTCTTGCGCTCCAAGGATGGCATACAATCTGATTGTATGGGACATACAGACTGAAAACACAAGACAACACTCAAAAAAACAAACAAAAAAAAACAACAACTGAGTTTGACTGTGTACCATCAGGCGAAAAAGGCAGCCCTAAGAGAGGAAAAGGTAAAATTCAGGGCAGCACTCTTCACGTGCCGAGCAACAGTGAAACTGTGGCAATATACAGAAATATAGTTCAGCACCAGAACCTTTTTTTGCATAGGTATCTCTTTATCCTATATGTATAAGCATTCAATAAGACAAAGAGAGTCAGGCAAACTTTCCCCCAAAATATAGACAAATTAAAACTTACCTTAACCACTTTGAATTTGTCTAAAATTCTATTGCGCTTTGAATGATTCTGAAATCTGCGTTCTGAAATTAAAAAGAAGATAAATATTATTTTAAAATGTAATTTAAGTTATAATGTTTTTATATATAACTAAACAATTATAAAAGGAGATTATATATATATATATATATATACACACACACACAACTGTATGTATGTATGCAATGTAGTGGTTTTGGTGCTACATGAATGAATACATTGAAAATATCTATAAAAAAATATTTTAAAAAATACATATATAACACAAATTCATATGTACACACACACACACACATAAAAAGTATATATATATGTTAAAATAGTAAATCAATTACATAGGTCATATATAAACAAATCTAGATTTTCTTTCTCTAAAGAAATAAGCCAAGTAAATGAATTAAAAATTATATAAATTAACTAAGATTAAAAAAATAAAAACATTAATAAGACATTTCATTAATTAATGAGCAAATAAAAATATGATAAAAGTGTACTTACTGTCATTAAAAATTATATAAATTAACTAAGATTAAAAAAATAAAAACATTAATAAGACATTTCATTAATTAATGAGCAAATAAAAATATGATAAAAGTGTACTTACTGTCAATGTGCAGCCAGATTCCGTTAGGGAAGATTCTTCTTCGACACTCAGATTCTCTCTCACACACTGGCCTCCGAGGAATACAACTCCTCGCGCTCACATCTGAGCTGCCTGCATTACAAGGGAATAACATCAGACGTCCATGAGGACGTCTGACATCAGCTCACTGTGATTCTAACAGTGAGGATTACGGAAGCACCCTCTAGTGGCTGTCTCAGAGACAGCCACTGGAGGTGGGAATAGGAAAGAAAAAATACACTGCAAAAAAAGTAGAGGTACCTGGCACCAAGACAGCTTAATTGAAATGAAGTTGTCTTGGTGCCTATAGTGGTCCTTTAAGAAGTTATTTTGATAATAGAATTTTTAATTGGTTGTTTTTTTACCAACCAAATTTTATTATATTTTGTAAAATTACTATTATTAAAGTACATAGAGTGTTCCATTATTCCTTGATAATTTGGGTTTTAATTTCTTCTAAACTTGGAATTTATTTTTTCCAAAATCTGGATATACAGAGTTTTGTGGCCATCAGGTAGGAACCATATATGATCTGTTGATAAGTTTAAGGGAAGATTTGTGTACGCAATGAATTGCTTTCCTAAAAAGTTCTAAAGATTTTAACCATGAATGTAGTGAAAACTACTTTCCCAGATCACCTTCCCATTTTAAAATAGTTTTTATCTTTGTAATCGGAAAATTTCTATTAATAATATCTCTCACTTTAGGCGGTGTCTCGTAAAGGATAGTATCCAAAGGAAATTGATCCAGTTTTTGAATTTTACTTAAATAGTTAGTCAACATCAAATATGAGAATATTTCTCTGCCTGACAATAAATATCTAATTTTTAATCCAGGAAACAATGCAATTTTAGTACCCATATATATGTCGCCAAGTTTAGTTATTCCTGCTTCTATCCAATGGGTTAAATTCAAATCTCAGATGGAAAATTATAATGCTTCTAATGAAGCGTGTAAAGAAATATGGTCTTGTTTTAAGAATAGTTTGTCGGATAAATAGAGGTAAAGATCTCAATGATTATTAGATTATTGATATGTAAGTTTTTAAAGGTTTTAATATCAACTCCGAATAAGTGGAGAGGGTTAATGTTGCCGCATATTTTTTTTAATCAATATACCAGGTTTTTGTGACAGAATTGTTGCTCCCCAATTCCAAAAAGTGAGTGAACATCACAGACTCGTCCAAAGAAAAACATTGGGAAAATTATTGCTAATTTCGCTGTCATGATTTAAATGCAAAATAATCCACGTTTTTTCATAAAATTTTCTTTTTGAACTCCAGTAGGAAAAGAAATTCCAGTTTTGGGTAATATGTATGCTCGAAGAGTGTTAGTTCTACCAACCCACAAAATTTGTGATTTACTCCACTTCATGGTTGTCTCTTTTAGTTTTTGAAATAATATATTCTAATTTCTGGTTACCCAAGATTTAATATCAAAGTTAATCTCTAATCCCAAATATGTTACTGAATTATTAGTCCAATTAAATTGGTCATTCTGTTTTAATGTTTCAATTTGAATATGTGAAAGATTCCAAGCTATAGTCTGTGGTTTAGATATGGTTAAAATAATGTCATCTGCTTATAATGTTATTTTTATGTTCGAAATTACCTTATAGAATGCCAGAGATGTTAGTTGAGTGCCTTATGTGAGAAGCTAAGG